GAATAGTTGGTAGCAGTTCAACAGTCTGAGCCTACCCTTCGCTTTGTAGACAAGTAAGGTAGAAAGTTCAGCTGAATGCAAAATGAAATTCTCTTCCTATTTACCCTATTATTCTCTTGTCTCTAAGCTTCAAAATTCGAAGTATCCATAACCGTAGTGTTGTTCCTTTTGTTGATGGCATAGGCGGGGGTGGGTGGGTGGGTGCTTAACCTTCCCTTAATCTTCTCTACTTACTCCTTGGACAAGAGAGGTTAAAAGACGGGTCGTCTAGGAATCGAACTGAGATCTTTTTCTCTCTCTATCTCATGCACTCGGCTGGCAAATACTCAACAGCACTGATCAATTATTAAAAATAAACCTGTCTCCTATTTAAACTATTCTGATATATATCACACTATTGATTGGTGTGAATAATTCTCAACTAATACTACTCCTCCTCCTCCTACCGATCGATAGTATAAACTGTATAAGTATTATGTAGGAATTCGATGAGATCGGATCACAATCACACATCATAAACTAATAGATCAAGAGTATTCCCCGATTATTTAATCAATAATCTTATGGATTGATCATGAATTGTAACACATCAGTTGAAAAACCACCACTACTGAAAACTAACCAAGGAGTATTGGATACCTGTTTCGTCCATGTTCAAAACTTTTCAGCGCAATGCACCCCATTGCCCTACTGTAATGGATTGAATCCAAGACGTTCAGAGGTGTATATTACTGAAGAGTCCTTAAAAAGGATGAAACAGACATCATGTACTTTCTGGTTTTCAATATAGACTCTCTAACTTAAGTCAATTCCTGATTAAAAACTTGAAATTTTATCAGATGTTTGAAAACTAACACTTGAAAAATCAATAATCTATAAGGTTGGTGCAGAAATTGATTTTATCAATTACGCTAAAATATGTCTCTCTCTCTCACACTGCCTCTCTCAATAATCAATAAATACCGATTATGAATCATGCACACGTGGTGTAAAAGAAAATAAGACAATATGACGAAAAACAAAAAATAACAACAGTTTTTCATATTTTCTATATGTGGGGGTGGGTGGTTCATTGTTGGGGTGGGCGTGTATGTAAATGTAGTTTTGTCTAGATGCGTTCATGTATGCGTTTTTTTGCTATTTTTATTTTATTTTAAAAGTTTGTACATGTGATCTCAGTTCATCTATCTACCTCATTAATCAAATTCCCTTATGTTAAACATCAGAGAAAGAGAGAAATATTTGATAGTCTCGTGACACCATGCTCTCTGAACTGAAGCAAAAACCATTTCATTATGATATATCATAAATCAGAAGTTCATTGGTGGATTGTCACTAGCAGTGGAATTCAGAATAACACGCATTTCGTCCTATTTGGGACTCGTCAGCTAACAGATGTACCTGCACTTCCTCCCCCAATGACTGATGATGTTCCCACCAAGGCTTGAACCCAGTGTCCATAGTTTCAAACGCCTAGGAGTTATCCACTAGACCACTTGGGTCACGAGAGAGCCACTACCTCTTGAGCAATGGGTCATATTAATTATTTAATTGAATTTTAGATTTTCCCGTCGACTGATTCGACTAAAGTGCTCGATTTCAGGTTGACATGTCTGTCGGCTTCTTGCGCCGATGCTTTGATGATGTCTGAGCATATAATTCGAATTTAATTGGTGAATGGTGACTAGCAGTGGAGTCCAGTATGCACAAGAGGTAGTGGGTCTCTCGTGGCCCAAGTGGTCTAGTCGAAAACTCTTCGACGTTTGAAACTACGGGCACTGGGTTCGAGCCTCCATGGGAACACCAACACTCACTCACTCACTCACTGGAGAGTGCACGTACATCCGCTAGCTAACGAGTCCCAAATAGGACGAAATGTGCGTTATTCTGGATTATACACTGCTAGTCACCATCATCCACCAATTAACTTCTAATTACATGCTCAGACATCGTTGAAGCATCTGAACAAGAAGCCGACAAACATGTCAACCTGAAACCGAGCTCTTTGGTCGAATCAATCGATGGGAAAATCTAAAATTGAATTAAATAATAATAATAATAATATCTTCTGTGAAGAAAATATGCTGTATTGCTAGACCCTAGGAATGTATGTCTCCCCACCGCATACCCACAGTCGGCCGTAGACTTACACACACACGCAGACAGATATACAAAAACATAGAAAACACAAATATATAGTCACATATCCATCCATGTATTATCTAGTTAGTATGCCGGTAGTAAGCAACACGCATTATTGTTATTATTATTATTATTATCGAATAATACGTTCCACGATAAACAAATCATGTGAATGATGGCGATAGAAGTAATGGGAGAGAAATTATCTATGTAATTTATGTGGGTCAAATGTGCTGCATATCATGTGATGATTCCTATCAGTTTTAAATATGTATTGCTTTTGTGTGTGTGTGTGTGTTTATGTGTGTGTGCGTGCGTAGGTGGGTGCAAATGAAACACATGTATACATCTACAATCAATAATCAATGCTCATTTTGACGATGTACTTTACGCTCCCTGTTCAGTGTGGTTATTCGGGTTGATCGAGCTTATTATCTCTACTCACACTACACTACACTACACTACACTACACTACACTACACTACACTACACTACACTACACTACACTACACTACACTACACTACACTACACTACACTACACTACACTACACTACACTACACTACACTACACTACACTACACTACACTACACTACACTACACTACACTACACTACACTACACTACACTACACTACACTACACTACACTACACTACACTACACTACACTACACTACACTACACTACACTACACTACACTACACTACACTACACTACACTACACTACACTACACTACACTACACTACACTACACTACACTACACTACACTACACTACACTACACTACACTACACTACACTACACTACACTACACTACACTACACTACACTACACTACACTACACTACACTACACTACACTACACTACACTACACTACACTACACTACACTACACTACACTACACTACACTACACTACACTACACTACACTACACTACACTACACTACACTACACTACACTACACTACACTACACTACACTACACTACACTACACTACACTACACTACACTACACTACACTACACTACACTACACTACACTACACTACACTACACTACACTACACTACACTACACTACACTACACTACACTACACTACACTACACTACACTACACTACACTACACTACACTACACTACACTACACTACACTACACTACACTACACTACACTACACTACACTACACTACACTACACTACACTACACTACACTACACTACACTACACTACACTACACTACACTACACTACACTACACTACACTACACTACACTACACTACACTACACTACACTACACTACACTACACTACACTACACTACACTACACTACACTACACTACACTACACTACACTACACTACACTACACTACACTACACTACACTACACTACACTACACTACACTACACTACACTACACTACACTACACTACACTACACTACACTACACTACACTACACTACACTACACTACACTACACTACACTACACTACACTACACTACACTACACTACACTACACTACACTACACTACACTACACTACACTACACTACACTACACTACACTACACTACACTACACTACACTACACTACACTACACTACACTACACTACACTACACTACACTACACTACACTACACTACACTACACTACACTACACTACACTACACTACACTACACTACACTACACTACACTACACTACACTACACTACACTACACTACACTACACTACACTACACTACACTACACTACACTACACTACACTACACTACACTACACTACACTACACTACACTACACTACACTACACTACACTACACTACACTACACTACACTACACTACACTACACTACACTACACTACACTACACTACACTACACTACACTACACTACACTACACTACACTACACTACACTACACTACACTACACTACACTACACTACACTACACTACACTACACTACACTACACTACACTACACTACACTACACTACACTACACTACACTACACTACACTACACTACACTACACTACACTACACTACACTACACTACACTACACTACACTACACTACACTACACTACACTACACTACACTACACTACACTACACTACACTACACTACACTACACTACACTACACTACACTACACTACACTACACTACACTACACTACACTACACTACACTACACTACACTACACTACACTACACTACACTACACTACACTACACTACACTACACTACACTACACTATATATTTTCTTCTCTCCGGATCTAATAGAGGCTACTCGAGGTTTTTTTGGGGTATGCTGGCTAGGAAGGAAACCCGACCGACCACCCACAACCATCCTCTTGTACGTTGTTAGCCAGCTTACTTATATAAATAATCCCCTCTGGCATGATAACACATCTAGTAAGAATGTTTAGAATTTAGAGTACAATTCTAAAACTTGCTTATAAAACGAATAAACTACTTATTTAAGGAGTAAGTAATCTATAAATGGTGTAATTTGAAGGAAAGGAGAGGAAATCCCAAAACATCTTCCTTTGTAGCGATTTAAATGAGGAAGAGTACTCACCAATGACATTACCTTAATGATGATCATCACTGGATTCCATCCCAGTGGCCGAATGGTATACGACTTCGACTTCTAGTCTCAAAGTCCTGGGTATGATGGTATGGTTATCTGTGTGTACTGATGAAGAGTCCCAAAGAAGGGGAGGGTGAAACACTCATCGTCGTCGCCGTCGTCGTGGTCATAATGAAAATTACACTATGGACAAATGAAAAATAAATTATACAATGAGTTTTGTTTTTCACAACCCTACCCCCCTTCATTCTCTGCTTTTCTCTCTTTTGTTATCAGGCATCCATTATTCCCTCTGTTGGCGCTGATCTTTGAAAAATGTGAATTAGCCACCTGTACACCACGTGATCCAATGTCAGCGGCAGCTGTTGCAGCAGCCGCTTCTGCATCTGGTAATACAAATCCTGGAAATATGGAAGTATGGTCATCGGAATCATTCAATGAAGATATTATTGTATTTGCTAAAGAGGTGAGTTTTAATCATTGTTTATGTGCGTGTATGTGTGTGTGTTTATTAGTAGTAGACCTTACGGACCCTACTGAGATGGTATCCTCCTAAAACAGCCATCCTTCATTTTGTAAGAATAGAAGACAAAGGCCAGGCAACAGATTGTTTATTAAGGAAATCAACGCATATTTATGGATTATTGTTAGCAGAAAAACACCGTCTTCTGATTGGTTGTTTCTCACTGAAAGTTAATCTTTCATTTGTTTGTGGCTGTTTCTTGAATGTCAGATCATCTATATGTAAAATCTGCTGTGGTTGGTTGTTGAGTCAGTCTTTGTTCTCATTTTTCTCACGACCAACATTGGGGGCATACACCTTGACGTAAATTACTGTCTACCAATATTTAAGTGTTGGTTTGTAGGGATCTGGTTGGTTACAGGATTTCATCATGAGCTGACATTGGTTAGAGAACCATTGGAAAACCTGCAGGGAGTACTGGACAGCTGTTTCGTCCTAGTTTGGGACTCTTCAGGCAGATAGTTACCTGGGGCTAGCTAGCTCGTCTTGAAACCAGAAGGTCCTGGGTTAGAACCCCGTCGGTGGATGCGTACTAATGAAGGATTAGTCAAACTAGGCAGACGAAACAGCTGTCCAGTACTCCTTACAGGTTTTCCAATGGTTCTCTAACCAATATCAGCTCTTGATGAAATCTTGTAACTGTCTACCGATTTTGGCTAGTAGCCAGCTCTCACCACAATCTCACGGCATAACACCATAGACCACTGACCAATCCTCCGTTTTCTTCACCGATTTCCATGGCTGACGAACAGTGAAGGGTGCGAGAGGGGTATTTACATAATATTCCTAGAGTATGGATTCATTCAACCGATCAAATGTCTTCACCACAGTTTCCCTTACAAACTAAAATTGTCCAAATTGCACATAATGTGATCTAGAATATAAATGTGCTCCTGACTGATTGATTGATTGATTATTGATATAGTGTAGTTGGTTACTGTTAACCAAACTGTAAATGTCATTCAATTGCTTACCAGTTTGGCGAAGCAGCTAGCCGCCAGTCACACATTTAGGTGGTTTGCACTGACTCACCTCTGCTCACCTTTAGCTCAGCTGCGTAGAAATGAGCGCGAAAAGGCATCCGATATTCGGATCACTTCCCATCTAGTTGAATTGAAAACATTTATTTCCCGATACGAATTTAAAACAAGCAATAAAGCAGGATGATTTAATGATGGATTCATCAAATTTCGGTAGAACTCTTCCTCAGCTGAGAACTCTACATACACGGATGTATATACTCTTGAAATGACATTGGGAGATATAAGACTGATAAGCGAGCAAATAAACTACATTGTGAATTAGTCATGTAGAAAGGCAGGTGGGAATGTTTTTCAGGTCATGTTCAAATGGATAAGGGGAGAGCGAGAGAGTATGAGAGATCAAAATTAAGATAAATTGCATTACGCTTCGATTACACATCACTTAGATAAACCATTAGTCATTAGAGAATATAACAAGAATTGCAAACAGAGTAATATCAATGGTGATAGTTATAATAATAGTAATAATAATAGGTAGAATAATACGTAAAACGTATTATCATGGTGGATTCAGAGTCACGACCATCTCCTTTTGTACACACAGAGGCTGGTTTATAAACTCGAATTGCACAAGCCTCCTCTGCAATTGCAAGCAACTTCTTGTGTTCTTTGTCTGCTGACTGGCGACAGTGAATGACTTGACAGTGCGTCGATATCATGTCGTTATACACACACACACAAGATGTTTTGTTATTGAGGATTTTGGCATTTTGCGCACTCAGCTGGTCTTTCAACCATTTTGGCAAATACCCCATCACATGCTACGAGTAGGCAGACAATCGCCTTTCCATACTCAGTTTGAAGTGTCGAGGATTGATGATGACTGGTCTTTTTCACAGACTGTTGAAGTACTTGCTTGTTGTTGTTGATGGTGGTGTTAAGAAAAACAAGTTTCAACTTTTATCTAATTGGTTGGTTGGCTGATTGATGTGAGCGATATTCAAAACTCCTCATATTGACTCCTGAACACTCTCCAATCCTCTTCTGGAAAAAAATCCATAGAGAATTCTGGATTCCCAGCACTCTTTGTTCACTTGACATTTTATATAATAACAATCATGGCATATATCAAGTTGTGGGTATATTATAACTTTGACATTTCGTTGTGTAATATAATAATAATAACAGCTTTATTCCAAACGGTATTTGTGGTAGAGGTATGGAATTTTCAGCGTGGATTACAATATATTGCATCTAATTACCTCATCAATTTTATAAGATTTTAAAATCAAAAAGCAACAACCAAAAGACACAGATAAATAAAAAGAACACCGTAGACTTTACATTTCAAGCAATGCACCACAGGATATGAAATATAAAGTTGATGTGTGATAAATGAGAACAACAGTGTAATAGTAACGAGGAAAGGAAAACAAAGACTAATGGGACTATTTGCTAGAGTGCCGCAGTAAGTTTATCGTGTCATACCTAACGGATTTCTCATCACATAACAGCTGTGCCAGATATGGTATTGTGGAGTTTTGTACTTGGTAGTCCTAGCATATAGCCTCCTCCTATAGCTGCTTCTTGTTCTACCAGATTAAATGCAAGGAGAGAGCTGCGTATAGAGAGGATTCTCGGGGTCTGACAATATTGTATTCTCTAGTTTCTTACATGACATTATATGTCTATCCACCAGAGTGTTAACCAGTTGGTTTGGTGATATCCCACTTGCCCTACTAACGGCTTTTAGTGCCTGCCCTTCTCAGCGAAGCAAAGTCTTTCTTAAGTAGTCCAGGAAAGATTGATGGAGAGCAGTAAGGGGGGATGGGTAGAATACAAGAATTGAGAAACTGAGAAAGCAAAGACTGCTTTATACCAGATTGCCTAAATTTCCTAACGTAGAACGTTAAGCGAAACATCTTTCTAGTAACTAGCAAGATGTGGGAAGACCAGGAAAGATCGGTGGAAAAACTCAGCCCAAGGTACTTGACATAAGATGTATTTTCAACCTCTGTGCCGTCAATGAGAGTGGGGCCATGTGAGCTAACTAGTTGTTGTAGGTCACATTTACGTCTGAAAGTGAAATTGACTACCTGACATTTAGACGGATTCCGCTTAAGACCGTTTGAAGAGGACCACTGACTAATTTCTGTGTAATAATCATCAGTTGGAGATTTGGCATAAAAAAATCTTTTTTTTTCTAAAATGAATTATTTCAATATATACATAAATGTTTTTTTTATATGTTCGATTTTATATATAAGATTATTACGGTCTGTTAACTGGTTCAGTCGAAAACTGGACCTAGAATATATATATATATATTCGCATACATATCGTATGCATATCTTTCTTAATGTGGCCAAAAATCCTGAAAGAGTGTAGGAGGGAGAGAGAAGCTCTGAATAAAGCCTGAAAACGATAGATTCGTCAGAAGAGAACAACACCTTCTATTCGTCATCTATATCTTTTATACATCTATATACGTAAAAAATATATATGTATATATAGGGTATATTTAAATGACCAAAAGTATCAATTTTCGTGGTATATATATATATGCTTACGTTTTAAACATACACAAACGTGTATGTGTGCATTTAAATATATATATAGACATGTATGGGCATGTATATAATGCATGTAAAGATCAATACATAGAGGCACACATACACACATACGCACGTGATATGTACGTATATATATATGGACGTACATCATTGATTGAGGATATATATATATATGTATTTAAATTTCTGGTCAATATGTAATATTATATAGATAGATAGATGCTTAGACAAGTCAAGAAGATAAGCAAGTCAAATAGAAAGATTTAAAAATTAGTTCACATCTGTTGTTTTGTATAATAAATACACGAAAATATATAACTAGGCTATTAGTATTAAGAATAACAATAATAATAATAATAAACAAAAAGTTAAACAAATGAGATATAGGCTGCAGGGATGGTGTGAGGGGGAGGAGCGAATATTGGAAGCGATAGGGGGAGTGAGGCTAAAGAAAGATCATGTTTGTTTAGTGAAGAAGACATACACATATATATATATTGCATGGGGGGTTTCACCATGAGCTGACATCAGTTAGAGAACCATTGGAAAGCCAGCACTGGGGGTACTAGAAATCTGGCTGTTTCGGCCTGGTTTGGGACTCTTCATCAGTACACACCCACCGGGATTCGAAACCAGGACCTTCTGGTTACAAGGCTAGCGAGCTAGCATGTAGACCATTGAACCAATCTCTGGGAGCCGATCCAATGGCCAGTGCATGAATTCTAACTACTGACAATTCACGATATAATGTGACCGCTAGCCAATGTCTTTGGTGGCGAGTATTTATCCTCACACCCGACCTGGTTCACCCCACTAGTCACAACTTCTCACTAGAACCCCAGGTAACCACCTACTTGAATAGGGCAAGTCGCTAGTGAGCATCTCATTGATATTCAAGTGTTGGTTTGTAGGGATTTGGTTGATTGGTCACAGGATTTCATCATGAGGTGACATTAGTTAGAGAACCAATAGAAAAATTGCAGGTAGTACTTAATAGCTGTTTCGTGCCAGTTTGTGACTCTTCACAGTACGCACCCACCGACACGGTTCGAACCCAGGACCTTCTGGTTACAAGGCGAGCTCGCAGAATCGCCCTATTCAGGCAGTTGCCTGGGGTTATAGTGGGAAGAAGAAATGGTCAGGAGGATGCAGCAGGTTGAAGTGGAGGCAGTAGCGCATCGAAGAAGACATTGCGCGTTATATTACGAATTTGCAGAAGTCAGAATTCATGTACTGGTCATCGGATAGAGTCCCAGTGGCTCAATGTTCTACGAACTAGCTCATTAGCCTTGTAACCAGAAGGTTCTGAGTTCTAGTCTTGGTGGTGGTGGTGGGTGAGTGCTGCTGAAGAGTCCGTAGCTAGGCTGACGAATCAGCTGTCCAGTACTCCCTTGGTGGTTTTCCAGTGGTTCTCCCTCTAACTGATATCAATTCATGGTGAAATCCTCCATCCAATTAACAGACCCTAATTTCTACTGGACTAAAGTAATATTTTAATCAATGTTCACTTGTGTTCGAACTTCTTTTTTGAAAATCGAACTAAACTAAATGAAAACTAATTACGAATTAATTTTCCCTTATTTGTTTTTTTTTACTTTTGAATAGTTGGTAAACTCTCAGAAAACAATTCGTACCAGTGATCCTGAATTAGACTCCCTGGTGAGTTTGATATTTACAAGAATTATTATTATTACTATTATTATCTTTACTGTTAATATTGCCCATATGCATATCACGTGAATTAATTAAAGTATATTTGCGTATGTATTTTCTCCACTTTTCGCCTTCCAATATATTTTTCCACCTTAGGAATGAATACACTTTGTATAGTGTCTGTTAAAGGCTTTTAGAGTTAACTTCGCTTAATTGGAGCTTAAAATACCAAATAGTATCTCATAAGCGCTGGCATATAAAAGATAAATATATTAGATGATGAGTGGCGATTGGCGTCTACTGGGGGGGGGTACTTACTCTTTAGTAAGGTGTATTCTTCCCTCTCGAGGATTTCAGCCTATTGAAGATATTCACGTTGATGACTTGACCTCTTGTATGACTGTAATGCATGTTGGTTTGGCAGGGATTTGATTGGTTCAAACCCTTGTGCTGGATGTACATACTGGTGAAGAGTTTTAAACTAGGACGAAACAGCTATCCAGTAATCCTTACTGGTTTTCGAATGGTTCTCCAATCAATATCAGCTCATATATATATATATATATTGATTGGTCATTGGGAGGGAGGATAAGTAGTGTGATGCGTCTATTCAGCACCATGGAGGACTAAAGCTAATGCTGATTACTGTACATTTCTTTTCTAAGTCTTCGTCTTCTACCGCATCAGTTGGTGCCACTGTCTCCAGACAATGAAGATCCTATGGCCTGTTACTTTCGAGGCTGGAGACATAAGGAACTTCTTGCGGGATTTTGAAGCCGTCGCTGAGTTGGTGAGCGTCAAGGATCCGTTAGCGAAGGCGGTCATGCTGGAGACGCTGGTGAGAGGTCAAGCAAAGGCGGCGATCAGGTGGGACGAAGACCTGGAAGCTGGTATTTGAACGATTGATGTAGGAATTCGACAGTAGCACTCGCCACTACATGACTTAATCCCAACTAAAATCAAGAATATAATGTACATTATGAAGAGGGTAGTAATGGAAATGATGAGTTGTCATAATCATATTTGTTGATATTAATTATTGCATAAGAGGAGTTGAATAAATGAATCAGAGTTACGTAATAAAATGAATAGATTTAATTTAATAGATTCACTGGCTCCATACCGCCCACCCGCCGACCGGGCAGAAAGACTTAGTAACAAGAAACTCTGGGAAGGAACCGATCAAGAACTGATCCGACATATATATATATGATAAAGAAAAGGAAGATGAATTGGGCACATGCTGAGGAGATCGTCCAGTGCAACTTGAAAGGCAGACAACGAATTGGATGTTGATGTGAGTGAGAGTGACATGGAAGAGATCAGAGAATACGGGCATTCGTGGAGCCAACTGATGAAGAAGACTGAAGACAACCGGACAAAAAGAAGATGACTACTGTCGAAGCCGTATATTCCACTCGGAATCTAAGGGAACAATAATTATGATAATCATATAAAATATATATTACCTAAGTACATAAATGATGAAGACGATATTTTCAACCAGTCTCATTTCTGACATCTTACTCAAGTGAACAACCACAGGAAAATTGGAAACTCAAGTTTATAGAAAATCAGTTTACACAGACCAAATAATGAATTACTACAGCAACAACACACAAAAAGAGTTGTATAGTATCACTATTCAACAGGGCCAGGACTCATTGTAGCACTCCCACGTTAAGGCAGATTGAAGAAAGATATCTCATAGACGTCTTCCAAAAGTATGGATATCCACAAAACTTTATCAAAAGACATCTACCCCCAAGGAAAACACAGGGGAAATCGCCCTACCATATATAAAACACGATATCTCATAAATGAATGCAAGACTCTTCAAACATTGCATACAAATCAACAAAATCACTTCACCCAACTGGCTCTATGTCAACCAAAAGACTCAACAACGAAAGAAGATAAAGCCAACATCATCAACAAAATAAATTGTAACAAGTGCGAAAAACACTACATTGGCCAATGTGGACATCCCCTTAGTCTTCGTATCCATGATCATAAACTAGACGTCAAAAGACATGATGATATCCACTCCCACAACCATGGACATCAATTCGTCTGGGACAATCAACGTTCAAATATTCGACAGAGAAACAACACCAAGAATGTTAGGGAACTTTTAAAACTCTGGTATTTCAGAAAATCGTCAATTAGTAGACACATTGAGATAGACAAAATCTACCCATCGATAGGAAGGAAACCTCTCTCTCTCACACACAAAGGGGCAAACTTCAGATCAAGGAAACAATCAATACCAATATAAGTAGCCGTCTAGAGAGTGTGAAAACACATAACCAATCACGATGTTGAAGGCCACCGACCAGAAGAGATCATGAATTAACTCGTAGAGAAATTTAAAGGCGGTGAAGATGCTGTCTAGTAGGTGGGGTGGGTGGGCAATGAAAGCTTTGCAAATATAAATATAAAACAACTACATGAAAAGTTTTCAACCCAATGTTCAACTCTAACTCTCACACACATAAAGACCCAGTTAGTTAACCATCCATCCATCCATTCAATCATTCATCAATTTGGCGTCTTTCTACATAGAAAATGAAAACCGTTTTGTATTTGCGCCTGTTCACGAGTTGTGTGTTGCATATGTGTGTCTGTGTGCGTGCGTGCGTACGTGTTTCTCGAAGAAAACAAAAATAATTTCATTACACATTGAAAAAACCAGCAAAAAAAACAAAAATTAAAAACATGATGGATAAATTTGAGAAGTTGTTCATTTAAAAATTGAATTTTTTTTGGTGGCGAGTGGTGGTTGGGGTGGTGGTGGTGGTGGTGATAGTGGGTTTACACTTGTGAAAATTTCCAAGTATTGGTGAAAATGTCTATCGGTTTGTCTGAATGTATGTCAAATATGTGTTGGTATGCGAATCAAGGTGAGAAAAATGAGAAAAAAGTCCAAGTACCTAGAAGCCGAGACACTGAGAGAGAGAGGGGGGGAGGAGAAAGAGACTTAAATTTCTTTTGGTCACATTATAACACCATTTTTATTTCAAATATAGATATTAATAATAACAGTAATAATCATATGAATTCACAATATTCACACCATTTTTGGCATATTTCATAAATGTGTGAGTTGTGTGCGTGCGTGCGTGCATGTGTGTTTGCGCGCCTATCTTGGCGGTAATCTGATCTAATGTTTTTTAAAAAAAAAACTGTGCTACATATACACACAGAACAGACTGCACAAAATCTAGGACAGGATAAGATCATTATTATTATTATTATTATAAGGCTATTTTTCATCATTCGCTGTCCCACTCTGTGGGCGTATCTCCTCAAAATGCCATATATCATTCAGAGTTATATATATATATATATATGTATGTGTGTGTATAGATGTGTGCTTCATAGTTTGCCTAAATTGAGACAGGTATATACATATCTCGTTGTTTTCTTATCTATCTATCTACCGATCTACCTGCGCTGAGATGATTCTGGCTGTCTGATTTGTTCAGTGTGTGTGATATCAGTCTCATTGTTGATTTTTTTCTTCTATTTTTTGCATTTTTTCTCTCTCATTAACGTTATTTTAATGTTATCTTCATTTATTTCTCTCTCTCCCCCACACCTTCCACTCTATTAGATAATTCAAGCGATTCAGGTTCTCCGATTTCATCTTCTTGAAATCGAGAAGGTAAGTAGTGTGTGTGTGTGATATACCTACATAGTTTGGTGTTTAATTATTTTAGTTTATCTCTCTGTTTTTCTCCATGTGTACGTGCGTTTGATTCTAGACTTCGTCCTATTTGAGGACGAAATCTCAGCACGGATAGAGAGGGCTGGTTTCGCATATGCCTGCCAGTTTACGCCGTCTCTGGCTTAGTAGACGTGATATCCGGCTGGCTATCAACCAATGGGCGGGTGTACTGCTCAGCGGTAGTCCGCTCCATCCTCCTTTATGGCTGGCTGTGAGCGATACCTGGCCATTGAGAGTAGAAGACATGAAAAAGGTGGCTAGCTGTCTTTGATCATAGGTGTCTGCAGTCTATCTCCCGTGTGAAGTAGTATAATAAGGTGAGCAATATAAAGGTTAGGCGACGAATGCTAGGTAAGGAGGGGAAATCAATTCAAATTCTGGGGTTCAAGTCCCAGCTGGTGTACACTTTTGTCTCACCACTTAACCGACTGTAAGCTGGACAAAGAGGGAGGAAGGTCGTGGGGAGGAGTGTGTGACACTAGCAAACAACCCCCCCAAAAAACGAATACCAGTGCTACTGAAACTTCCAGACTCAAGCTTGTCGAAGCCTTACATTCGACTCGAAAGGCAAAGGATAGCATCCTTGAGGCATATTAAGTTGACAAGTAACAAAATAAAAGATGAAATACATCTCAGATTTGACTTCTGACGGCAGTCAACCTTAAGAGAACTGGAATAAAATGAAATCCACGATGACGATAGGGATATTGTAAACCGAAAGTTACACCACTGAATTGACTGAATGTTGGGTAAACACCTTGTTCGATTCCTTTCACGATTTGAGTTGTTCTTTTTCTCACAAACAAGAACTACTATTTACCCTTCGAGTTCCTGGTGGAACATAGGGCCTCACGTACACATCTCCTCTATGTCATTCCCGGACCTATGCTCATCTCGTCGACTGTCGTTTCGAGCTCCTCCCAAGGGTGTTTGTTGTCCAATTCATCTCTATTTCCTTGTGAATCTCTTGTTAGGTAATGGGTTCTTAGTTGCTTTGTGTTGGTGGCAGAGTGGTTAAGACTCTCGCCGACCATGCAAATGGTCCGGGGTTCGCTTCCCTGTCGAACGCACACCTGATATCAATGGTCAACCTGCAAAATTTGGACTAAGGATATCCATGCTGAAAATTCAATACTTGTACCAAAAATACGCTGTGAAATCAAGCTATAATCAAAATAAAATAAATAATCATGAGTTTTATTCACATATTGATTGTATTTCTATCTTCATTTTACAGGTGCATGAACTCTGTGATAATTTTTGTTCTCGTTATATAACCTGTTTACGTGGTAAAATGCCAATAGACTTAGTGATTGAAGATAGAGATTCAGCTGGATCCACAGGATCAGGAAACAGTCCACAACCAGTGAATTGTTCAGTGAATCAGTCACAAATGAATGCGGCCGCTGCCGCCGGTGGTGGATTACAACATCCAGGTTCAAATCATCCTGGTTCAGTAAATATGTTCAACAGTTTAATTGATGAGTCTAATAGTGGATTGGCGGCAATGCAACAACAACATCAACAACAACAGCAGCAGCAACATTCTCTCTCACATCCTGGTAGTATGTCAAATTATGCAAATAACCCAGGGTTTCGAGGTGATCCAGCGGCAGCGTATGCCGCAGTTGCTGCAGCGGCTTCTGTCTCTCAAATGGGTGGTTTACTGGGTCTTGGTGGTATGTATCCTTGCTCAAATCTTCCTTCATCATCGTCAGCAGCGGCATCCTCATCATCAAATGCAGCATTTCATTCAATGTTTGGTGGTGATCCACGGTATAATCCTAATTCACATAGTTCTCCAGCGCCTGGTTTCCCTGACGCTTCAAATTACTATGGCCACCATCATCAACAGCAACAACAGCAACAGCACCATCAGTCACATCATCAACATGCCGGTGGTGGTCACTCCAACTACCATCATCCTGGTATGTATTCATCATCAAATCCATCAGGGTTTGGCGGCGGGATGGATCTAGGCGGATCTAATGATCTGCTCAGACCACCACATCTTGGTTCACCTTATTCAAGTCATCATCATCTATCGAATGTATCCGGAAATTTTAATAGTATTAACTCACAAAATTTTAGTGGACATCTGCTAGGCAGTGGACAACATAATGCTTCGAATCTCAGTGCATTTGGACAACATCAACTGTCAGCTGACGCACTGTCATCTTCTTCATCTTCTGGAATGGTTGGACGATCAAAAGTGAGTGAATTTATTGAAAAAAATCCTGTTAATATGGTGATTTATTTTCACTTTTTTATCGATCGGGATGCCGAGCATTTCTTTGTGACATAGGACTGGGTTGGAAAAGGATTAGGGGGTGATTGAACTGAAATGTGATATCAATCCACGTAGTTGACTTGAGCAAACCAGGCAAGGAGTTGTAGACTACTTGATTGGTTGGGTTCCTCGGAATGCTAAGAACCAACTAAGAACTCGAACTATTGGTGATACGGCTAAAAATCCTTCTCAATGGCGCAAATGCATTCAGTGTTTGCAGTAGCCACGATCCGCTAAATTATCCGTGGGTTTCCATGTTCCTATTGTCTTGAATCTCTTTTTTTTCTCTACCTTTGTGTGCTACATGGTGTGTGTGTGCATGTGTGTATGTGGCAACTTGAACTGGTATTTCTTTTGTGCAAAGTTCCATGTTGAAACTCGGTTAGTCAGTCAGTCAATATTCCTGTCAGATGGGATGGAAAGACATATTAGCTAACAGCCATTTACATATGTATGCAGTTAGCGATGAGTCATATCCCTTGTGTTAGAGGTAGTTATGAATCTCAGTGTATGTGTAACGGCGTTCAAACTTGTGACCAAGTAGCCGAACTTCAGGAAACGTTTTAAATCAATGAGCTACATCTTCACAAGCAGGTTAAAGATGATCGATTGAAGAGAGATAACATTTTCCTACTTTTAGAAATGATTTTCCTCCCTATACTATTTTACTCGTTGTATTATTTTATATTTTGCGCCGTTGTTCAATGTGTTCAATGAACCACCGAATCAATTGAACATAATATTCTGATTCACAGGATACATTGAATACACGTATATGTAGAAGTTTAAGTCAGTATTTTGCTCAAAATCTAACAAGAAGGAAAAGAAACCCATTCCATTTAAGCATTCAATGCCTGTTTCATCCTGCTTTGGGTGTTTCCTCAGCAGTCCCCTCACCGGGGTGTCCAGCTCAACCTACTGACTATTGAACTATTGGATTCGATTTCCAGTGTGTAAGACTAGCAATCCCACCCTACAGAAAGAGAAAAAAAACTCAGGACCACGGTTACTGAGGCTCCCAAGATTTAAAGCCAAATTGCTGTATTCGGTATGGAACTGACTGAGAAAAAAAAACCAAGGGGAATAAAAATTTTAGTTTTAAATATCTGATTGACACTCATTTTCTCCAAGTTTAACCATGGAATGAAAACAGTTGTTTCCTCGCGGTTTCAGATTCATCGGCACCCACTTCCAGTGTTCCAATCGGACACTTTTCATCTACAAGTCAAGCTTGTAAACCATTCAGTCACAAGGGACTTGATTCAGTGACAAGCTCATGTATTCTAAATTCTACTAGTACTAATGGTTTTTAGCATGATTGGCACACCAGCCAATAAATGTCATTTCGGTGGCAAGTATTTCTTCTCACTCCCTACCACTGTCAGTCGCAACTTCTCACTACTAGTGTGACGGTAGGTAGTTAATGGAATGTTTATTTAGAAATTGGTATCTCTATATAGCCAAACTGTGTAGGCCTTATCTTCAACACACCATTCGCAGGGATCTTCGTGTTGTGGTACTTCTGAACTTCCTTCATATTGTGCTCCTCTTTCACGTCTTCCATGTGTCTCTACAGTGTTGTATCATTTGCCTCCTCTGAAGTCAAATGTATCTGATGATATTAAATGGTTCGAGGCAATCGGCCACAGGAAGCCTTGATTGACCTATGTTTCGTGCTAGTTGGCACTCACCGGTCAGCAAGGCGTATCTGCAACCACGTTGAAGGAACTCATGTCCCCCTCTCTGAGATTCGAACCCGCGTCACCCAGTACTGCAGGTTGCAGATACGCCTTGCTGATGAGTACCAACCATCACGAAACATAGGTCAAGCAAGGCTTCCTGTGGCCGATTGCCTCGAACCATCTTCTAATATCACCAAATCAATGTGCACCGTGATATCCAGCTACCTAGAATTCAGTTTGCACAAAAGAAAGGACTAGAAACGTCACACTAGTTACTCTAGTGTCCAATCAAAATCAAATGTATCTATCTCCCTGCTATTTGATGATATTTTTTATGCCGATGAACGTCTCCTTATATTACTACTGATAAATCTAATCATTGGTACACACACCACACTAAAACTCTAGGCAGTTTAGTTATGCAATTAATCAGCCACTAGCGAGCACCTGAGTAAATAAGAGAATCATTGAAAACTAACTAAGGGCATGCTGGGGATAGCTGGTTGTTTCGTCCAAGTTTGGTTGGAACTCATCGGCTGATAATAATAATAATAATAATAATAATAATAATAAAGTGAATCCATTCTTCACATTGAATTAAAGCACAAAAGAATAAGTTGAATACACAGTAGAAACAACAATAAAAATAACAACATATCAGTTTCACATAGATTTTGCGCTTATTTTGATCGCTGGAAGCAAAATATCACACACGGCAACACGTGCATGTATGTGTGTGTGTGTGTATCTATGTCTGCATGTGTGTGTGTATGTGTACGTGTTAAATACTAACGCCAAATTAGGTAATCTGAGGAAAGAATCTGCATAGCGCAACTTTGATCTATTTGTCTATCTATAATGTATAAAAATCAATAATAATAATAATTATTATTATTATTATTTAAATATCATTTGTGAAGAATGTTATTATTATATGATGAATTGATAAATTCACAGAAAACATCAAACCGACCCGCCTACCTCCTGGGTCTTCCCTCTCGATGAAATAGGCAGTAGAATAATAGATTGCAGGTTAGATATTGATTAACAGTGAAGAGAGAGTGAGAGAGTGAGTGGTGGCATTATAGCAAATCATTGTATATATACACTCTGTTGTCAGTACATGGATGCATACCTCCATCGCACATAGACATGAATATGAACAAACACACACACACACATACACACAAACACAAACACAATCAGTTGTATACAGGGAATAATCAATTGTCTATCAATCATGTGTCAAGTGCTGGTTTGTAGGGATTTGATATCGATTGATTGGTTACAGGATTGTGATGAATTGGCAGAAGTTAGAATTCATAGTCTGGCCATTGGATTGGGTTCAAGAGATTGGCTTAATGGTGTACAAGCTAGCTCGCTAGCCTTGTAACCAGAAGGTCCTGGTTTCGAACCGTGTCGGTGGGTGCGTGCGTGCGTGCTGTGACGAGGAGTCCCAAACTAGGCTGACGAAACAGCTGTCTGGCAGTACTCCATGGCTTGTTTTCCAATAGTTCTCTAACCGATGTCGACTCATGAAGAATAAATATTATTAGTTTAGGAAAGCAGATGTGTCATTTGTCTTTAATTTGTAGGGATTTGCTGTGTTTCAAGTTAGATCACAGATTGATATCATTTAGAGAGCTATCAGTGAAAGTCATCATGGAGTACTGGAGAGTTGTTTCGCCGTCTCCTTTGGGGAATCACCACCAGTACGCACCCTTCATAAGAATTCGAACCCAGGACCTATTTAGTTATGACTACTACCAATTCATGATTTTAGCGCAACTAGTGGCGAGTGTTTTTCTCCACTCCCGGTCACGACTCCTCATTAGAACTCGAGGTGATTTCGTCTTGCAGACATCTGTTTGGAAGGTCATGAGTGTTCGAACCAGTAAGTCTCAAAGATGGAGGACGAAACAGCTATCCAGTACTCCTTGGTTCTCAGTAGTCCTCTAACTCATCACAAATTATGATGAATTATTAAAAACCATCGTCATACTCGACAGTCTTGATTAGTCTTAGCTTGTGACCCCACTGTCAGAGGTCGAACCTAAAACATTCAGGTCATAAGGTGAGTTACATCTGGTCACTAGAGTTCCAGACTGTTGAAGATTCCCAAGCTAGGACGAAACAGTGTGTAGTATGTACACTTTATTCCCCTCCTTCTTTTTTTTATCTTTTTTATAACTGAATTCAACTATTAGATCAACAGTCCAGTTTATTGATTAATTTCCTTTGAAGAAAAACCCAATAGAAAATCAATAAAACCTTGTTTCTTCTCAACATCACCATAATCATCAGCATAATTAATGACTCATGACAAAAATATTGCGTGTTTTACAATCGTTAATGTTTGATGAAGAAAAATCTTTAAAAAAATGTTGTTCTAAAATAATAATTGAAAACAAAACGTAATTTAAAGATGATTAAGTGCGTTGATATGTGTGCGGGGGTGCGTGGGTGTGTACTTTTATACACTCATGTACTTACAACAACAACAACAATGACGACGCACACACACACACACACACACGTACATTGAGAAATACAGAGAAAAAGGGTGGAGGGGGTCAACAGTTAGATGGATGGATGGATAATTAAACTGTATACTAGGCCGTTTCATACCAAAAAAAAACTTGAAAAATTCCACACAAAAATAAAAAGAATAACTTTCTTATTGATTTTTCTTGTTGTTATTGTTGCCGTTGTGGTAATTAATCATTTTATCTTCTTATTTTTCTTTTAATTTTCTAAATATCATATGTTATATATTAAATTTATCTGAGAATGATTGTCTGTGTTTGTGTGTGTGTGTCATGTGTGTTTTTATCAATGAATGAATCAATGAATGAATGAACTGAAGAATGTGCTTGCATAGTATGAAGTCCTACCACCCTGTTATGGTTACTACCGCTGTTTTGGTTTGCTATGACTAACGGTGTATCATGTATAGTGTGTATTTAATCGATAATTGATCGATAAATATCAATTAGTCAATCAATCAGTTAATTAGTATAAAATTATTTAGGAGTGGATAAATCGATTACTGCTGCCGTCATCAATCATGATATTAGTGACTAGAGTTCTTGTAACATGGGATATTTGATTTTAAAAAAAGATTTATTTTGATAGCCTAATTAATGACGGTCAGATCAGATGGCCAGAAAAGATCAGCAACAGGGATCTCTGGCAATGAGCGAACCAATCAGGAACCGATTGTGAAACAAATAGGCAGAA